CCTGTCCAGGGTGTACCCCGCCCCTCGCACTGTGACTGCTGGATATGGACACCAGTGACCCTGAAATGAAGAAGCGTGTACAGAAAATGGATGGATGGGTTATTTTTGTGTTGATAAGCCTGAGTGGTCTGTTGACTGACCTTTGTGTTTGTTCAAATAATTGTTACGGTCAGGTTACAATATAAAAAAATGTTTGTCATAAATGTTTATGACGAGATGTGTCTTGTGATTATTTGACAGGAGTTTTACTTTTAAACTGTAAGTGTATTTAATGTAGTTATGTTTGTTATGATGCAAATAAAATACAAATTAAACCAAGATTTAGAATAATTATATTTTGATCCATACATTGGTAATGTGTGACTGGGCCTCCTGACTCTTTATGTTCAACAAATTGGGCCCCGAGGTCAAAAAGGTGAAGAACCCCTGATCTAAACAGAGTCATTTTGTAAAATATGGTTCTGGTTCTACCTGCAAGATCCATTGTTCGGTCCACAAATATGATAGATGCTTTGTTAGGAGCAGTCTTCCTTCTGGTTTTGGACTGAGCGTGATTGGCCAGTTCCCCTGTGATGATGCGGCTCAYTGGACCCAAAGCAAAGCTCTCTTCCCGTGTTCCTGTGGCCTCGAACATCACATTTAGGGCTGAAACTAAGGATCTGACTTGGATCTGCAGCTCTAAAGGCAGAGAGTGCACGTCCACCTCGTTCAGGCTGGCGAACCTCTTCTTCTCTGGTCGTTTGGCGTTGATTGTCGCCAGGTCTGGTGCCAGCAGGGGGAACAGCTGGGACAGGGTCGGTGTGATGAGCAGCTGCTGCGAAACGGGAGCAAAGAGCAGAGGAGCGTACATGACCTCCGCCGTGTAGTTCATGTTGCCCATCCACTCACAGAGCTTCTCTTCGAACTGCTGAAAGACGGGTTCACCGTCCAGCTCTGCCGGGACCCTGTTGGCGAGCAGGTGGGCGGAGTGCGGCACACAGGTGAAGACCACGCAGTACYGGAAGTGGCTGACAGAGATGATGTCTCTGATAATATCCACGGTCCTCCCCTTCAACAAGGTGCTCACCACAAACACAGCTTTGGGCTCGTTCATAGCGCACGCCTCGAAGCTCGAGAACTGCTTGATGTTTCTGGCTCCAGCCTCCAAGAAGGCAGAAGCCCCCCCGCTCCAGTGGAGCCCCTCTGCACACCTGTCGTCCATGAAAACCACCGCTTTCTTCACCTTCGACTTTACTTTCTCCCACGTCTGGAGCGGAAAGCGGGAAAAGTCTTCGGTCGTCAACATGTTTGAATAACCAGCAGCGACAGCTAAGTGCAATGAAAACAAACGAAACGTCAGCTAGAGTCGCTTCACCAAAACAAACGAGTCGCCTGAAGGTGACGTGGCAAAGCGGCGCGTCGCAGAGTAAACACGTCACGCAAACGTTCCCATGGTGACKTTTAAAGCCAGCTGTCAAACAACCACAAAATTACACATCTTTATCAGTTTGTTTTGATTTTAGTCCGAGCTAAAGTCAGCTCAGCACGAGATTAAAGAAAAAGGAACATTAGTTAGTTAGTTAGTTAGTTAGTTAGTTAGTTAGTTAGTTAGTTAGTTAGTTAGTTAGTTAGTTTAATAATTAATACAAATAATACAGACCAAGTTTTGGTCTGTTTTTTTGTCTTAAAACGACCTCTTTATTTTTGAAATGTTTACATCGGATTCTGACTCGACAGAGCCCTGCGAGGAGGAAAACGGGGACGAATTATATCAATGTAGCTAAGTTTAAATAACCAGAATATAACTAGTTATTCTGTTTCAGGAATAAACAAATTATACACATGTAACCTTAATATTAGTGTACACGGTTGAAATTTGTAGCTTAAAAGTAGTAAAAAAAAATCTCTGCAACTGTAATTTATTTTTATTTTATTTTTAAGGGATATTTGAACTCAAGGATGAGAGGAAGAAGTCAGAAAATGAGCAGATTCCTCACAGGTAGGTGTGATGATTAGTTCTGTAATGTGTTTCTTTGTTAGTTCCTTCGTTCATTTGTTTTAATTTAGCTGGGTTTTTTCTCCTTTTTTTCTTTTTAAATGTATTTTAAACCCTGTACCTGACCACTCAGCGTCTGGCCTCTGTTAGCAAAATATCTCATTAAATACAGGATGAATTTTAAAAGCAAAAAACGGCTAACTCTGTAATATTCAGTGTTGTATAAAGTACCTGAAAGTGATACTTGAGTAAAAGTACAAGTATCTTATCATAAAACTACTTTGGTAAAAGTTAAAGTCTTCTTTAAGAATATTACTTGAGTAAAAGTCTTAAAGTATCTGATTTATTTTGTACTTAAGTATCAAAATTAAATTTCTGACATAGAATATACTTAAGTAATAGAAGTAAAAGTAATGAGTAAAAATGAACGGTTAGATGTTCCAAAATACATTTATTGGGAGGTGACCTCTTCAAAAAAAATTTTTTT